TGAGGCAGGAGACTCGCTTGAGCCCAGGAGTTGGAGGTTGCTGTGAGCTGTGATGCCACAGCACTCTGCCCAGGCGACAGTTTGAGGCACTGTCTCAAAAAAAAAAAAGAAATAAAAAGATGTTTTAGGGCAGAACCCATAGCTCAGTAGGCAGGGCACTGGCTACATACACCGGCGGTAGCACATCTGAATGCGACCTGGGCCTGCCAAACAACAGTGACAACTACAACACCAAAACAGCTGGGCGCTGTGGTGGGGCTCCTATAGTCCCAGCTACTTGGGAGGCTGAAGCAAGAGAATCACTTAAGCCTCAGAGTTTGAGGTTACTATGAGCTGTGATGCCACAGCACTCTGCTAAGGGCAACATAGTGAGACTCTTTCTCAAAAAAATAAAATAAAATAAAAAGATGTTTCAGGGTGGTGCCTATAGCTCAGTGGGTAGGGCACCAGCCACGTACACAGAGGCCCAGGCCAGCTAAACAACAATGACAGCTGTAACAAAAAAATAGCCAGAGGGCAGCGCCTGTGGCTCAAAGGAGTAGGGCGCTGGCCCCATATGCCAGAGGTGGCGTGTTTAAACCCAGCTCTGGCCAAAAACTGCAAAAAAAAAAAAAAAGCCAGCTGTTCTGGTAGGTGCCTGTAGTCATCCCAGATACTCGGGAAGCTGATGTAAGTGAATCGCTTAAGCCCAAGAGTTGTACGTTGCTGTCAGCTGTGACACTATAGTAGTCTACAGAGGGTGACACAGTGAGACTCTATCTCAAAAAAAAAAAAAAAAAAGATGTTTCAAATAATTCTTGACCAGTGATAGAACTTAGTTCTCACAGTCTCTATCCATATTGGTCTCACTGAAAAGATACACTCTAAATTAATTCTGAGAAACATATTCTAAGTGCCACCTCTGGGATTACTCAACTGCTCTTCTACTTCTAGAATAGCACTGGTATACCAACACTACGGTACTCATGTTTGCTTCACAGGTGTTTCACCCTGTGGCCTCACTCTAAAAAGTTTTTAAAAACACAGCTATTGTGGTGGCGCCCACAGCTCAGTGGGTAGGGCGCTGGCCACATACACAGAGGCTGGAGGGTTCAAACCCAGCCCAGGCCAGCTAAACAACAATAACTGCATCAACAATAAAATAATAAATGGGGTGGCACCAGTAGCTGAATTGGCAAGAGTGGCAGG